ATTGAATGAAATTCAAAATGAAAGTTCTCTTACCATAATAACAAAACAGGTACACTTTTTTCGCACGTTTGTCATTCTAGTTCGTTGCTCGTGTGCCGTTAATTTTAGGAATGCTATTTAGCTTTAAACTTTTTCAAAAATCTTTTGGATTTGTTTAATTGTGGAATTCAAAAAGTGCTTTTTAAAATGATTATTTTATATCATTTATGAACTACGAATACTCTTACCATAAAAACAAAACAAGTACTTTTTTCGCTCGTTCGTCATGCTAGTTTGTTGCTCGTTTTCCGGTAATGTTGTAGCTATGTTATCTACACTAAATAAAACAAAATAGAAAATGTCCTAACCTCTATCTTCACGCTGTGGCGAATTCTTTTTTTCCATGATTTCTTTAATAAATTTTTGTTTCGTTTTTACAATATTTACAAAAAAATGATAGTTAAAAAGCTCGTTAAAAATGTCGTCATTTTCGAAGTGACGTGTGACTTGAAAGCTCGACCAATCAGAAACGCAATGTACACCTCGCGGGCGACACTTTTAGCGTTACGCACAGGGTTCCCATGCGATTACCACGAAAACTGAGTTGCATAGTTTACCATATTCTATACTTATGGTGCTCCGCTCGGCCCGCGCGGGAGTTCCGCTATAAGGAAAAATACTAATATTACTTACGTCTTTTATCCTCCAAGACACAAAAGCCAGGTAAAACCAACAGCAAGGCCGCAATTGTACATCGTTTTTGGAAGTTCATCTTTAAACAAACAATGGTAACCGAAGTACGTCTAGAAAGGATTGAGCAGCTCAGAAATTACAGGCAGCGATAATATGGATCTGAATCTTCTGGTGAGCTGTTTCTATTTTTAAACCAACAGTGTACGTGATTCAGTCGTAATCAATATTCATTAAGTTGTTTTAAAGCGGGAAGTTACAGCCGAAAAGAAATGATTCATTCATTATTAAAACTTTTTTCAAGCTCTTGGAGAGTATAACGACTTTTTTAGGCTTTAAATTTGCAGCTTCAGCACTTCACATGACCCAAAGTAATGATATAACAGAAGACCGCCTTATTATCCATTATTTTCAATGCGTATGGCAATGAAATAAAAAATATTGTTAGTGAATATACCAATTATAATGTTTGTCTCAGTAGGACTCATTTCTCCCCCTAATAGTCGTTTATTTTGTAGCTTCTGCAATATTCTATATCTTTTCCTATTTTCGTTATCAACGCTACGGTTTTAAGTTATCAATATTCAAATACCACTTGTAAATGAGACATTAAATATTAAAAACTTCACTCTCGAGCTCCACACAAAACCTTATAAATGCCTGAACCAGTATTTTTATGATGGTTTGTAAGCTTGGAAGAAAGTATAGAATAATTTTAAATTTGTCATTAGCTGAAAGGGAAACTCTGAAAAAATCAGAGTCCTTATCAGGAATTCTGAGTTTCACTTTCACTGAGCTAGTGACAAATTTAGAATTATATCTATCTCAGTATAGGTTTTTCAGTTTTCAAGTTATGACTGTTTTGCAAGAATCCCGCTTTGTTTTCGCCACTTTTCTTTTGAAAACTTGTCAACTGAGATGGTAATACTCAATTAATTTAGCATCTCGAAAGAGATCGTGACAACCCATTTTTCTTTCTTTATTTTGAATTAGCGTTAAATTCTGTAAAACAGCTTTCTAAGAAGGTTCCTAATGACTTCTTCTAGATTCCGTACTCAGACATCTCAAGGATAGAAGTTTAGAAAAAACCCGTTGTCAATGTAGAACTTTGACTTTGAGCTGAAACGAATAGCGAGGTGGTTTTTACAGAACAACGATCAACTTCATATGGCACACGGTGTTTCACCCGTGTAAAATTCATTGAGAACATTTCTCGCTTTATTTAGCGGCTTTTATAAAAAGTTGGAACCGGAAATATCTCAAAACTTTAATAGCTCTATTTGACGTTTACCAGTTCAGAAATAATTTCTTTCTTTACTTGTTTTGTCATATTTAAGGAATGATAAAAAGTGCGCGCTAACTCGAATAATGCGCGCGCTTTACAGTATATACAAAAATGGAAGATGAGAAAATAAATTTTATTAAGAAATCTTTAGAATACATTTTTCATTGCAGTTTGACTAGATTAACTAGACTTTTCAACAACCGGTTCCGTGCGTGGCAGAGATGCAAGGGATTACCTGTAGGTATGGTCTGGGGGCCGACTAGTCTCTCCTCTCATGCTTCCAGCCTAGAACATTTTCTTGCGTAATTCGTACACCCAAGGGCAGAAGGCCAGCAATAACAGCAACAACAAAGCTTTACTGATGACAGCTTTATTTGCACCACGATTACAACTAATTACAAATAATGTATTCTTGGAAAACGAAAATGAAATATAAAC